TCAAATTATGGATTTGAAAAACATGTAATTAAAGTACCCAAAGATTCACATCGTCCAAATAATCATACGTATTAAAAATAATTTAGATACTTACCAAAAAGCAAAATTTGGTAATTTTTAAACGCATAAGTACAAAACAAACTACAACATGTCCTCAAAGTGTTCACCACCATTTTCGATTCACCCACGACACCTTCGAATCCAATTTTCGCGCACTCGCTGGAAAGCACTTCAAGAAAAGGAAATAATGGTACGCAAAAAAACACTAAGACACGGTCCAATTCCAGATACTAACTGAATTGCGTATTGCTTGACAGCTTAGTGCCTGGTGTTATTCGCCTCACCGTTGTCACGTTGCTCGATATTAATTTTATCGAATTTTAAAATTAATACAACGCTAATTATTTTTTAGAATTAAGCATAAAGAAGTTAAAAAAAGTGATAAACATTGTATTTTATGATATTCTAGGCACGCAGTTATGTCAATATTCCTTAATTAATCCAACTTTTGTACATCAAGTTGGAGAATTTCATAATTTCTTTCTCGGAAATGGTTGAGTTTAGGACCCATGTCATATAAGGTTTTTTTGTTTATTTTAATGTATTCTATCGTATGTTTAAATTAAGGTAGTCAAACTAACACCCCGCATATAGATGAAGTTTCCATTTAAGTAAAAACCTAGTATTTAATTGGAAATGCCTGAAAATTTAAAATTATCCAATTATTTACATTGCAGCTTATAACTGGTGAATAGTAGAGCAATTTGGAGAAATTTACTTTGAGAAACACGCTCCTTAAAGATTGCGGGACACCCTGTACAAGTCTACGTATTTTGCTTCGAATAAATGCATATTAATGTACTTGTCAGAAATGAAAGTGGTCGATATATTTTGTCATCAGGTAAATTAAATGAGCACATCTCTTCGCGAGTTCAGATGTCAAAGATCCCGAAGATAATATCTGGTACATCCGCATAGAGAGAGACCGAGATAAAAAGCGCCATGTGTCGCAAAATACGACCGTGATTTTTACTGGTGCCACTGGTGAATTAGGCATACCGCTCGGCACCATGCGCGATAGGGGATCCGTTATTGATTTCAAACAAACACAGTCGGCCATGGTCATCGCAATCGCGGCAATATTCCCCCTTGTGTTTTTTTTCGGGGTCTTAAATGCCTTACCCCCCGGTTTCGATGCAAGAAACCAAAACAGTGCATTCTACGACGATGTGAGGCAGCTCCTGTCGCTCAGCCAAGGTCTCTCGCAGGTAGGACACCAATTTTTATGAGTGCATGTTAATTTATTCCGCTATTATTATCTTTTGTTTAAAAATCAGTTCCGTTTAAATAGTATTAAAAAGCTTATGCGATAACGAGCTTGGGTTTACTTTGACGATTATTTGTTGATTTAACATTGTTTGGTACTAGGCAACCATTTTTACTCCAGCAAGCTACTGTCGCGTTCTGTTCACCTTGGATACCAGTGACGTAACAAAAAAAGACTAAGGACATATGTTGACAACATTACAAAATAATTATTTGCGTACCTACTCCAGATTATAAATTTTTAAAACTTTCGCATTTTGGTAAAGGTCCAAAAGACCTTATGAATGGAATTGTAAATAGAGGTTGTTAGTCTGATTTATAGGACAAGATTTTTTAATGAAAAAATCATAAGCTTCTGAACTGGTTTGGCAGACTAGTTCAGCTTATTATTTTATTAATATTTATGGCATTTTACAAACATTGATATATGATAGAATATTATATTAAGCAATCTATTACCTACTGTAAAATTATTGCAGATTGAAGAGCTTTACAAGAGTAATTGATAGTTGGGTCATATCAAGGCGATTTCCACTTTGAAATATGAAAAATCAATCGTTAAAAGTGTTCATTTGATTTCTCGTTCCAAATTTTCTCAAACAATTTTTGATAAATCTTAACTAACTATCCTATGAGTAGTATGACTGAAAAAATTAGCATGACTCCAAAATTAAAGACTTGTTGAATCACTAGTATTTCACAACCTTCGAAAGAGAAAGAGGGAAAACGGAGGAAGACACAATTAGATTGGATCAGATTGCTGATTTAGAGATAAATGAACAATATGTATATATAATTTTATACAGTGTTTACCAATTGAGTGTGTGAGGGTTACTATGTTATGAGTACCTTTCCTTCAATTTTATGGTTAACTACTCAGGCGAGTATAATCATTCGCTTAGTTAACTGGTATTAATAGGTATATAACTAAAATATGTCCGTCAAACTATACTATTTGTGTACAAGTTCAGGACGATATGAATGCAATTAGTGAACAATTACTAAACACTATTTACATTATAAACGTCCAATATCTTTAAGGTTATTAAATTTTCCAAATCAGGATAACTAGAGCACCGTGTTATTGGATTTTGGGCATCGTGTAATTTATTGAAACGACAATTTCTTTCAATGACTTTTGAAATTGAAATTTGTAATTTTTTTTAGAACTTCCCTAAATCTCAATAAATGTGTGTCGCACGAGAAGAAAAAAATGTTAATTATTTTTATCGATTTTTTTTATTTGCCTTTGAAAAATCCTATTAATCGATTTATAAATACTTACATGTAAAATCTGTTACTAACCGCCCATAATTTATAGCCGAGCAAATAAATTTTTATGATGATAATATGCCAGTCATTGTTGTGGTTACTGGAGCGTGATGATTTCTTTGAAATGTATTAATAAATTTATATTTTCTACGTATTTATTTTAGTGACATTGACACTGAAGAACATCGTGACCGACATTTCATCATTTTTATTCAAAGTAATATAATTTTCTACAGCTCTTACGAAAACATAGGAGGAATAAATTGTCGTATTTACAGTGCGACACCTTCAACCGAAAAATTAATGTACAGGAATTCACATAATTTCTACGTTCCTTATCTTTTCTTTTACTTCGGAACAATATCAAGAAAATCTATTGAAGATCTTGCTGCAAAAAGGAGATAAGTAGCAATATGTAAATTTTAATAACGGAAAAATGTATTTTCTTTAAGTTAGTATAATTGTCATATCATCAAACAAGTATGACATTTGTATCTGAGTTAAAGAGAAATATTCGTATAAATAATGACCATACGCTCAATCAGTTATAGTACAAAAATGAGATATATGAAAATAAAAAATTAAAGTAAAATAAAAAGCAAACAGTATTTAGACGTATAAAAAACATGTTACATCCCCAATAATTGTAAATGAGTGTATAAAAAACAAAATAAACATTCAGAATGTTTAAAATACATTTATCTAGACAAGTCAATATTTGAAACTGGATTATATGATTACATATATTAGAATCACATAAAAATAAACAAATAATTAAATGACTATCGCAAACATCTAGTACAAGAAGTGACATAAGATAGGTACATCGAATTGTTGCAACGGCATGGAAGAAGTGAATATACAGGGTGATTTAGAACTAATCCAAAAAAAAATTTTTGAATGTACCTACGGGGGACTTACAAATACAATTTTGTAAAACATATCAAAAAGGGCAACTCGAAAATACACTTCTGCACGGCACTGGAAACTGGTCCACTCTAAAACCTGATCTTATGTAACGCAAATCATGCTATCGCCCATGTCGGCGACCGGCACAGCGGCAAAGTGTAGTAAAAAATGAATGGACAAAGAATTTCTTTCCCAAGGAAAAATATTTAACACCTATTTTATATAAGCAAATACAACTGCTTTTGCCGCTATTAGATATTATTATTAATTATATTAAAATTGATTTGTGGTTTTAATTAAAAAAATAATAAACTAAATAATTTGACATACCTGAGGTTACAACTACAAAATTTTGACCACCGACGTGTAAACACCGTCTTACCCAGTTTCTACGAATTAACACACATGTTGTCTTGCTTCATCATAACACAAATGCTTCATCATAACATAAATGTTGCCTTACTTCACCATAAATCAAAACGATATCCATCAACTCCGAGATTCTATATGCGTAAGCCATTTTTGACACTTGAAAAACTAATGTAAACACTATCGCAACAACGATAATACTAAAATCGGATTTTAGTATTCGGAATCGCATGGAGCCACGTGGGCGAATGATGCTAGAGACTACTGTAGTCTGTATCTGTACAGTGATATAAAGGTTGAAAATACTACAACTTCAATAACTTTTTTCTCGGAAACTATAAGGATTTTACGATATTGACTCCATTTTTCATGACGCATTTATTCCAAAATTTGTTTGGATAAGTTGTGAAACACTGTATACACCAGCCGAAAAGAGTACTTTTTTAAAAATATCTGAAGTTATTTTATTTTCTAAAATTTTGCATATATCCTCCTCTTTCACTAGGATCTTCAATTAAATTTTGCATTTCAAAAAAGCGTATAAACTTGTTTTTTTATTTCATAGATGTTCGAAAATTGGCAACTTTTGCCTAACACATTACTCACATGGCACAGTTTATTTGCCATATCTCGTTTATTATTGGAGATAAACCTATCGAACTGTGTTACTGTAATCCGAAACCGATCTGTTCAAATATGTGCAAATATATAGGATGCTTTAGTAGAAAAAGTCTGGTTTATACCTTTGAATTGTAACAATCAATTGTTTTTTAAGTATTGCTTTAAAATCCCAAGATTGCTACGTGGATATTCCTGTACGCTGATTCATCAAATTCTAGAATTTATTTATAGTTTGCCGTGTTAAAACAAAAGAACACAGATAAGATTGTGCTGACGTAGATAACTTTATATTACACATAAATTAAAGAAATTGAAAAGTTGATTTATTAATTTTGCTTTAACGTAAAACAAATCATCAGCAGTTATCGTGCACAATTTTTACTACACCCTGTACGTTTCAGCGTTAACACGCCTATGATTTCCTCGGATCGGGATTTCCCTTCATGTTTGTTGAAGCATTTATCACCTAACGGTAAATTACAATTACTCTCAGACCGACCAAAGCCAACTACCAAGTGGCGATCAGTAAATCTCGACGGCTATGCATTCTAATTAAAAAACCGTAACAGTACTTATCCGCGACTTTCACGGCCGAGTCATGCAGTAAGTGTGCAGACTGTAAAATGCTCTGTATTTTCTCAGTACCCGCGTCCAAGATATGAACATAAAACGGCCGTACGTAATATCCGCGTGTACCATCTTACTCTTCTTGCTCATCATCGTCGTAGTTGTTATCACAGACAACGTAAGTACATTTATTTATTCATCATGTGTGTCTGGTGTTGCCTAAATTCGAGGAAATGGTGCTGGTCAGGTAGTGGTACCTAGCCTATTATAGTAGGTAGGTACCCAACGGTACCCTTCCTCTGTTTTGCCATAAAACAAAATATAAAGGAGATGATGCGTCGTCATGGTTACCTTGGATGTGCCTTGTGTGAAACGTGTGTGTTTCGGCCAAACTGTAAATTCGATAAACCCTTATTATGTTTGTTTGGTACTTCTTCATTCCATATGGCGTACTTATGCCGTAAATATTATTTCGTAAATCCACAGTACTCGATAGTTCCCCGACTGAAGAACAAAAACAAATAGTGTAATCATTGCATTGTAAACGAGATAGTAGAGCAATAATGGGTATCAGATTTTAGAAAGATAAGCCTGAATGTCGCGCTTACTTTCATTTTTCAATGCGGCTATTGTTGCGGCAAATTATTACGTCGACTTTTTTTTATTGGATGTGAAAGTTGTAGTAAAAGTGAAGTAAAAATTGAATCAATTTGTCATGTAAAATAATAGGTACTTAAAAATAAACCGGAAAAAGTTTTGTTACAGGGTGTTTTTAAATGAAGTAGTAAAAATGGTACATAGCGAATGTAGAGCCAAAAATAAGAGGACTGAAGTAAAAATACCCTATATGAAAGTTGCAGCCCTGAGGCGATATACCCTCTTAAAGCAGGGGATTGAAATTCACATTTTAATTTTTTTCTTTAACTTGAGGAATGCTAGAGACACGAAACTTGGTATGAGCATCCTACTAATAAAGAGACAAATTTTCAATACTTTTTCGATCATTGTCCATTAGCGTATTGTAAAAAGGAGTGAAACAGTCAACTCCATTGCAATATTTTATTAGAAATTTTATATATGAAGCAAATTATTTATTTAAAAATATTTATTGGGAAGACTGATTTATTGCGCAACTTCGTTACCTCTTGTAATTTTTCGCTAAAATCGATAGTTTTCTAGTAAAAAATTAGATGCGTCATCATTCACTAAAGGCGTAATTGAGAAAATTTGTAAAAATAAAGTGGACGGATGTCATAACAAATCATATTAATAAATTGACACTTTCTGTCAACCAATAATTAGTACCAATTGATTAATTTATTATCAGAATAATTATGGTAAATAATATTTATACCAATGACGAATATGTCGACATGCTCCAAGTGTTTTTCGAATCTAGAAAAAATAGTACCTAACGCTGCAGTAAGATTATACCACTAAATATATCTAAACCGACCGATTCCTGATAGACAAACATTGGCGTCGTGGAAAGAAGGCTTCGCGAAACTAGCTAGGAATGTAGCTCATGAAAATCTTTTATACCCTTTTCACCATCAACCTGTGCAAGAATTGAATGACCTTGATTAACTTGACTAATATTGGCAGGCATGACTTAAATTTCCTAATGAATATACTTTTTACCGATGAAGCAAATTTTCCTAGAGTAGGTGCAGGAAACTTTCATAATGTTCATTCATGGTCGGAAGAAAATACTCATGAAATATTTATTTCAAGATGTCAACATAATTTCAGTTTATATTTTAGGAATACTCTAGTAGGTCCTTTTATTCTTCTACACAGGCTTGGAGCGTCCGAGTATCTTAGATTTTTGAACAAAACATTACTTGAGGATGTACTTCTCGCTACACGTCAGATGATGTGGTATATGCTTGATGGGGCGCCTGCACATAGTACACTAGCCATTAGATAATGGTTAAATTTAAATTACCCGATTCGCAGGATTGGTCGTGGTCGTAATGCCCTGTTTGTTGGCCTGCACGTTCACCTGACCTAACGCCTATGCATTTCTCTTTGTGGGGACACATAAAAAGTATTGTTTTTGCCACTCCTGTTGCCTCCTTAGAAGAACTTCGCTTAAGAATATTTCAGGCAGCAGATGACCTTGGCAATAACCAAGAACTGTTTGTGCGAGTGCGTTATAACTTCAACAGACCTATTAGGTTATGCTTATAGCAAAATAGAAATTATTTCGAGAATATTCTTTAAATTTAATTTTGTATTTCTTGTTTTTCGTTTGTATTAAATTTTATTTCAGATAAATAACTTTATCTATCACATAGTAATAAGTTATCAAACATTTTTCATTAACTAATAGCAAATTATTCTTAATGTTATTATTAAATTGTCAGCTTATTGTCAGAAAGTATCAATTTATTAATATGATAAATAACAATTTATTTGTTATGACATTCGCCTACTTTATAATTACAAATTTTCGCAATTACCCCTTTAGTGAACGATGATGCATCTCATTTTATTACTAGAAAACTATCGGTTTTATCGAAAAATTACAAGAGGTAAAAAAGTTGCGCAATAAATCAGTCTTCGCAATAAATATTTTTAAATAAATAATTTGCATCATATAAAAAGTTTCTAATAAAATATTGCAATGGGGTTGACTGTTTCACTCCTTTATAAAATACACCAATGATCGAAAAAAATATTGAAAAGTTGTCTCTTTATTAGTAGGATGCTCGTACCAAGTTTCGTGTCTCTAGCATTCCCCATGTTAAAGAAAAAAATTAAAATGTGAATTTCAATCCCCTCCTTTAAGAGGGTATATCGCCTCAGGGGTGCAACTTTCAAACAAGGTATTTTTTCTTCAATCCTCTTATTTTTGACTCTACATTCACTGGTAGCATTTTTGCTACTACATTTAAAAGCACCCTATACAAATACATGTATAAATCAAACAAATAGAATTTATTTAAAACAATTTTTAATTGTCTGTTGACGTAGTGTTCAGGCAGAGTTTAGGTAGTAACTAGGTTCGAGTTATTTTATTATTATTTTGTAACTCAATATTTTAAGTATCTATATACAGGGTGTTTCAGGAAACATTGGCCAACGCTCGGGGGAGATTCCCAATCTAAAATCAAGATTATTTTTTCATATCAACAAAATAAACAAATATTTACTTATCTAGAATTAATTATGAATTGTAGACGTACCTACAATAAACAACTCGATAAATATAACATTTTACATGTGAATAACCGTGGCGTTATAACATGGTACCTTCGATTCCGGATTAAAACATTTATTTTATTCAAAACTACTTCATTATTGTTGTTGTGACAAATTGTTTAACAATTTAATCATTAAACAAAACTATTCATTTACATTTTAAGTCCATTTTTATTCCTAAAGTATATCATAAACTTTTTGCGGCCTACCACATTCCTTTGTTATCTTCTATTTCATTTATACCGGGTGGCTGGTGTACAATTTATATTACAATTNTGGGTATTATATCTGGGGAACGAGACGGCCACGCAATTGGACCAACTCCAATCCAGCGATTTCCAAATATTTCGTTCAGATATTGTCGAACTGGAACCGTAAAATGCGCTGGTGTTCCGTCTTGTTGGAACCATAAAAGATTTTTCATGTTTAGAGGATTCAGGGGTTTTTGAAGTTCTATATGGGGCCAATGATTTGATTGGTAATGATCACTGCCCATATGTAAGTCCAGTCATGTTCAACATAATAATACCTAACAATGTGTATTCGGTTGTAGATAGTTAGTTGTCCAAATTTCATTTAATTCCCTTAAGAGGAAATCTAGATTTTTGAAAAAAAAAACATATTTTATTTTAAAACTTTGACACCCTGTAGCTAAGGAACGAAGCGAAATCGGATCCACGTTGATATGAAAAAATAACCTTGTTTTTAGGTTAGGAATCTGCCCCCGAGCGTTGACCCGTGTTTTCTGAAACACCCTGTATAAAGGACGAATAAATTCTAGTTCATTTAATGATAAAAAGAGAAATGACCTTTTTCGTTAATATTAAAAATTCACTAATAGCTGTTTTACATTGACAATTTATTCATAAAGGGTTTGGTTTTACACTGCTACAGACTTCTTGAATGGTACAACAACGGTACTGTTTTGACACTGTTTATAAACGTTAGTTATTGTAATCAACAGATCAGTAAAAACAATACAAAAGTAGTAAGTACGATGCCATAAAATTATTTACATATGCCAATAACATAACCTCGTTAATGATCCGGGGCTGATGATCTGTTGGGTTGGTACTTCTCAACTTCACAAGGAACTTCACGAAAATTAGAACATGTTCTAATTCGTGAAGAACATCATGAATAAATTCATGAAGTTATTTGACAGCTGATTTGGTGCATTAAACTTGTTCAATTTCTTCACGAAGCGACTTCATGAATTAATTTATGAATACATTCGCGAGGTAAACAGCTATAAGCATAAAAATCTTTAAAAAATTAATAAATAAATGATAGGTCAGTAACACCTATCTTAAACTTTAATTAATTTAATTGCAATAATAATGGATGGACACTAGGGTTGGATTAGTCATTTGTGCCTCATGTTCTGTGGTTGGCACCATATCGAAGCTAAAATAGGCTTACTATTGCTCCTATGTCTAGGTTTAAATATGAAACATGTCTGTTTCATATTTATAGCTCTTAAAATATGTTAAATACCTACTTTCAGTTGGTCAAGGTTATGGTTGAATTAAAGAAATTATTTTAAATTCTTCAAGTTATAAGTAGAATGTATTACTTTGTTACCGTGAAAGTATTATTGTGTTAATTGAATGCTTCATAACAGCATGTTTTCTTCTGATTTTTCTTTTATCTCAACCAGCACTTTAAATTCTGTTATCACAACAGCATTTTTCTTTATATTTTTTTTATCACGAACAAGGCTTTACTTTCTAGTATCTAATATTTTTTATAATATACCCAAACCTCCAATAAATTTTTTGTTGTTTGAATCATGTAGCAATAATTTTAAATTGACTTTCAAAAATGCTTTATATCCTTGCTTTGAGATACCTTTTACCATTTATCATGTATTACTTATACTTACTATTAAATAATAAATCCACTTGAAATGTTTTTTATTAACTTTATAAACTTTCTCTGAATAAGTTTTTTGTAATTGAAACTCGTAGTTTATTTTTATTTGGTTCCATACGTCATTTTATTACGAAATTAATTTTCACTCACTTTTGTTACTAGATATCGTCTTCGAGATAAATTGAAATTTATGGGTAAATATTTGAGTAATTATATTTAATAAGTTACGCGATTAAAAGATATTGACAAACGAAGATACTACTTTTAGCATAGGTTATCTTCTGGTTATCTACAATCGATCGAAAATGGTGTAGAGATCTGGATGAACTTTGAAATATCGTACAACCAGTCTTATGATTTATGACATTTCACATGCGTACGCTTAATTTTGCATTGCAATACTGATTTATAAGGTCATAACATTATTTTTTACAGAATGTTAGTATTTTATTGTAAGAGACATTTCCTATAATTTAATTTATACATAGTGTTCCACTTTAAATGGATTTTTATATAGTTATGGTAGAATCAAATGAAAATCAATTGTACATATACGGGGTGTCGCGCTTAAATGTGATACAAGCCTGTAATTTTATTTTTTGGTCGATTTCAAAAATTTTTATTTTGCTGTTTTTATTAATGCAATTTACGGCCAACTAGGACGCGTTTTATTGACATCAAAACAGCTGATTGGTATTAGCGATTTTTTTTGGAATGTAGGATAAAAAAATTCTGCCTAACTGTTATACTGCTGTTTTTTATTAATGGCCAACTAGTGCTCGTCTGAAGATGTCTCGAATTTGATGAAACTTGGTGATAAGACATTTTAAGAGATGCTGAATGAGAATACATAGTCTGTTTTTTTGACGTCAAAGAAACGCGTCCGTGTATTGCTTTCATGAAAACATCAGCATTACAGTTAGATAGTTTCTTTTATCCTACAATCTAAAAAAAAATTTTTTGAAATCGGTCAAAAAATAAAGAAGCTACAGGCTTGTATCACATTTAAGCGCGACATCCTGTATATTATTACATTTTTTAATTTCTTCTAAAGCCTACTTTGATAAACGAATATTGAATCTAAATAGTATCGCTTTTTTAAACCTTGACTCTCTCGAAAATATAAAATATCTCCGAAACTAATCTTGATAATAAATTGCGATTTTCACCACTCGTTCAAGCAAGAAGAAAATTCAATCATGCAGTATTTAATATATTTGAGATAGAAATAGAAATCATTATAGGTATTTAAGACAAACGAAAGAAGTATTTTATCCTGAATTGGAAATGCTATTTTTTCTGCTCGTATATAATTTTATATTTAACTTAATTTAATTCAAAACTAGGGTTTCTGGTCGAGACTTCTCGAAGCGAGAATTCCCTGGAAATCTGGCCTTACTCGAGACGAGAAAAAAGTGTCGAGAAATCGAGAAATCGAGAAATTTAAAAATCACGCGCGTCTTAAGTTCTTGACTGGAGTTCGTTTCGTTCATGCGTTCAATTCGTTTCTCGACAAATAACTGAGCGGTTAAAGTGGTTTCTCTACGAGCTCATGATTTATTTATTTTAAGTTTTTAAGGCTTTAGTTTACTTTGATGATTCTTTTTTTTTATTACGAGGTGATTCACTATATTTTGACCCCCTTTTAACTTTTTTGTTTTGAGAGTTATAAAAAAATGTGAAATACAAAAGTTGCACGATTTTTTATGAAGTTTTCGAAAATGATAGTAGAAAAACAAATGAAGTTCAAACAAAATGGCCGCGGATGTTAACTTTGTTAATTTAAATGGAACACCCTGTATATTTTTACATATTTGGATAGAACG